GCACAGTAGGTTAAGCTGCCACCTGGGGATACCTGCATCCCATTTTAGAGCACCTAATACTCTACTTTTTAAGAAAAGATTTATTATGATTTTTTTAAAGATTTATTTTTTATTGGAAAGGTGGATATACAGAGAGGAGAGACAGAGAGGAAGATCTTGCACCTGATGATTTACTCCCCAAGTGAGTGCAACGGCCGATGCTATGCTGATCCGAAGCCAGGAGCCTCTTCCGGGTCTCCCATGCGGGTGTAGGGTCTTAAAGCTTTGGGCTGTCCTCGACTGCTTTCCCAGGCCACAGGCAGGGAGCTGGAAGGGAAGCGGGGCTGCTGGGATTAGAACTGGCGCCCATATGGGATCCTGGGTGTGCAAGGCGAGGACCTTAAACACTGCGCCACCGCGCCAGGCCCTATTATGATTTTTATTGGAAAAGCAGATTTATAGAGAGAAGGAAAGCTAATAAGATCTTCTATCCAGTGACTCACTCCCCAAGTGGCTGAAAAGGCCGGAGCTGAGCTGATCTGAAGCCAGGAGCCAGGAGCTTCTTCCAGGTCTGTCATACGGGTGCAGGGTCCCAAGGCTTTGGGTTATCTTGTACTGCTTTCCCAGGCCACCGGTAGGGAGCTGGATGGGAAGCGGAGCAGCTGGGCCACCAAGTGGCATCCATATGGGTACTTGCAAGGTGAGAACTTAGCTACTGAACCATCCGCCAGGCCCAGGTTCCACTTTTTGTCTTTTAAATATCTTCATTTCAAAGTATCTTTTTACAAAATTTTTAAACTTCTTCTTATTATCATTTTATGATACAGTCCAATAGCCCCTGGGATTTTCTTTATTCCCTCCCCAATACCCTCCCCACTGACAGAGTTCTCCTGTATCATCACCATAGCATAGTTCCTCATACACAGTCATATGTCCATCATTGCGGGCATGGATAACGGCAGAGAGTCCAGCATCCTATCATCAAGATATAGTAAACAGCTTCATTGGGAGTCCATCTCTGTCTGGAAGTAGAGATGCACTGCAAAGTATCTTTATAAGTCAACTCCACGTTCTTACCATATTTAGCACTTTCTTTTTCACCATGTTTTAACTTAACAATTCAGTGGAGTAAGCATATTCAGTGCTGTACATGGCACTGAACAGCTCTGTAAACAAGGAGTGCCCTCCCCTCTGCTCAACCCTGGTGGCATCAACTGCTTTTACATTTAAAAAATGAGATGAGTGAAAGAGTGAAAAAGAGCTGTCTTCTATCCATTGGCATTCCTTGGTTCACTCCCAAACTGGGTCAGGCTGAAGCCACGAGCCAGGAACTCCAACGAGATCTTTCACTTGGGTGGCTAGGGCCCAAGCTCTCAGGCCATCATCAGTGGCTTTTCCTGGTTAAACCATCTCAGTGATTTCCCTAGTCCAGGTCTCATGGTATGTGGCAGGTTAGGATGTGTTTGGCTTATTTCACATAGCACAAGGCTTTCAAGGCTCCATCTAGGTTGTAACGTGTCAGAATTATTTCTCTTCATGGCTGGATAACATTTCTTTTGCCATTGGCAATAATGTAGCTAAGAACACCAGCGTACAAGCACCTCCTGGCTTCGTTTATCTAGAAGCAGAACTGCTGGATTGCATGACAGTTGTACTTTTAAAAAAGAAAAGATTTATTTTTTATTTGAAGAGCAGAATTACAGAAAGGAGGTGAGAGAGGGAGGGAGGAGAGAGATTCCTTGCTGGTTCACTCTGCACATGGTTGCAAAGGCTGGAGCTGAGCTGATCCCAATTCAGGAGCCAGGAGTTTCTTCCAGGTCTTTTAAGTGAGTGCAGGGGTCCAGAGACTTGTACCATCCTTCAGTGTTTTTCCAGGTCATTCATCAGGGAGTTAGATCAGAAGTGGAATCGCCAGGAGACGCAAACTGGGGCCCATAGGTGGAGGATTAGCCTAATATGCCATAACACCAGCCCAGATAATTGTATGTTTTAAAATTTTTTAAAATATTTTTATTTGAAAGCAAGATATACACAGAGAGAAGGAGAGACAGAGAAATATCTTCCATCCGTCTGCTGGTTCACTCCCCAAGTGGCCATAATGGCCAGAGCTGATCCAATTCCAAAGCCAGGAGCCAGGGAATTCCTCCAGGTCTCCCATGCAGGTGCAGGGTACCAAGGCTTTGGGCAGTCTTCAACTGCTTTCCCAGGCCACAAGCAGGGAGCTGGATGGGAAGTGGGGCCACTGGGACACAAACTGGCAACCATATGGGATCTGGACCGTGCAAGGTGAGGATTTTAGCCACTAGGATACTGTGCCAGGCCCCTAATAGTGTGTTTTCAAAAACACTTTAAAATGATTTACTTTTCAAATGTTTATTATTATATGAAATTCAGAGTTGCAGAGGAGAGACTGCTCTCTGTATCTCTCTCACTCCCAAAGAGGCCACACAGCATTGATTGAGAAGACAAGGGCAGAAGCCATGAGTCAGGAGTTTCATTTAGGTCTCCCACGTGGGTGGCAGAGGCCCATGGACTTGAACTATCTTCCACTGTTTTCCTAGGTGTATTAGCAGGGAGCTAGTTCAGAAATGAAGCAGCTGGGACAGGAACCAGTGCCCACAAGGATGCCAGCATCGCAAGTTGGCTTTACATGTTAAGCCACAATGCCTACTCCAAGATTTACTTATTTCAGGGGGAGAGAGAGAGAGAGACAGAGACAGACAGACATCCACTTGTCCACTAGAAAATGTCTGTAATGGCCAAATGGCCCAAGCTGGAAGTCAGGAACTCAATCTAAGTCTTCGACCTGAGTGGCAGGCACTCAATTATTTGAGCCACCACTGTTACTTCCTGGAGTTTGCAGGCAGGAGGAAGCTGGAGTTAGGGACCACAGCCAGATCTTGAACTAGGTATTCTGATATGGGATGGATAACATCTTGACCTGTAGGATGTCTGTTTTTCCTAGTTATTTTTTTTTAAAGATTCATTTTATTTTTATTGGAAAGGCGGATATACAGAGAGGAGAGACAGAGAGGAAGATTTTCCGTCCGATGATTCACTCCCCAAGTGAGCGGCCACAACGGCTGGAGCTGAGCCAATCCGAAACCAGGAGCCTCTTCCGGGTCTCCCACGCGGATGCAGGGTCCCAAGGCTTTGGGCTGTCTTCCACTGCTTTCCCAGGGCCACCGGCAGGGGAGCTGGATGGGAAGCGGAGCTGGATGGGAACCGGCGCCCATATGGGATCCTGGGTGTGCAAGGCGAGGACCTTAACCACTACGCCACCGCGCCGGGCCCTCCTAATTATTTTTTAAAAGTCTACTTACCATTTTTACTTATTTGAAAGGTGGGGTGGGAGAAAGATGATGAAGAGAGAAAAAGAGAGTATTAAACTTATAACTGTCACTCAACGATGTGCACAACAGCTGGGGTCTGGCAAAGCTAAAGCCAGGAGTCAAGGACTCAATCAGGCCTCCCAGTGGGTGACAGGGACCCAGCTACTGGAACCATTACATCCCCAGGCACATTATCCAGAGGCTGGCTAATAAGTGGGACCACTTGGACTCCAACTGGCACTCCAACATGGGATGCAGGTGTTCCAAGTAGTGGCTTAACTTGCTGCATCCCAGCACCTGCCCTCTTCCCTTCTTCAAATAGCCATCATTATAGGTGTAAGGGCCACGGTGGCTCGGGTTTTACTTTTTTCACTGCTAGAAATAGTCAAACTTGAAATGTATCTTCAATATATGTATATTTGTATGCTTAGTGACTTTGGTCTTTCAGTCCCTTCTCAAGAAGTAGGGGCTAGGAATGCTATAAAATATCTTAAAAGGTACAGCTTCCTGCAACAAAGACTTCATTGGTTTCAAATGTCAATGATGCTGAGATGGAAAATCCCTGGATTATATCTATTTTGTCAAATTGCACGGCTCTTTATTAAGTGCAATGAATCCCTGTGGTAATACAGCAGCATACGGAATGGTGGTGACACTGCCTGGAACATTTGCACCTCTCATGGGAGTGCCTGGGTTCCAGTGTGGGCCCCTCTTCTGCTCCCAGCATTCTGCTAATGTGCACCCTGGGAGGCAGCGGCTGGTAGTTCAAGTGTCTTGGTCTCTGCTATCCAAATGGGAGATCTGGACTTAGTTCAAGGCTCCTGGCTTTGATCTGGTCAGTCCTGGCCACTATGGGCATTTGGAGGGAGTAGGGGTGAACTCTCAGATGAAATATCTCTTTGTGTATGCCTTTCAAATAAAAAAAATAACTCATACAAAAAAATTCCTTCCATTCACTAGTTCATTTCCCAAATACTTGCAACAGCCAGGGTCAGGCTGAGTCAAGCAGTGGCCCAAAACTCCATCTGTGCTTCGTCATGGGTGGCAGGACACTTCTCCTGAGCCATCACCGGCTGCCTCCAAGGTGTGCATTAGCAGGAAGCTACAAGCGGGAGAGCAGACAGGACTTGACCCAAACACTGCTGGGGAGTGTGCACATTCCCAGGTGTTTCTTAGCCACTTCGCCAAGTGCTCACCGAACTGAAACATACTAACATCGTGACAAAGATGCATTACCTCTATGCATATACTGCAGCACTTGCTAATACTACTACTGCTACTTTTAATTTCTTTAAAATTTTGAATTTTATGGTCCAATTCTGAATAGTCTGAAATTTCCCTCCCCTCAATTCCCCCTGCAACTGATTTTCCCCATATTGTCATAACAGTACATTCCTTCATAAGGAGTTACAATCCCATCAGTCTGCTGTTTAAGCGTGCCCCGACACTGTTGGTACAGACAATGTCAGACAGTCAGTCTAGTTTTAGTTTTAAATCTCCATGTTCCAGAAAGAACAGATCTAGACCAATTGCATCCAGACTTTCCGGAACTGCACAGACGAAGCTGGACCAGGCAGACAGGCAGAGCCCAGACTTCCACATGGAAACCGTCTTGTTGGGCCAAGCACTTGGGAATAATGTTGTGGTACCCCTTCCCTTTTAAAGTCCAACAATTTAAGGAAACACAAATTTTTATAAAATGGAAAACTTTAATTGTTTAAAGCAAAGGCACAAGTAAACATTTCAGGTTATCATACAATGTTACAATAAAAAAAATTCCAACAGTAAAATGGAATATACATTATCACTTTGCATGTCCGTGGTATATTAAATGTATTTTTCTATCATCTCTTCTTCGGAGTGACAAGAAGGGATCAATGGATGCAATGTAAAAACTCTGATTATAACATCCATTCCACTTTGAACCAGAAAAGTTCATTTCGGGAGAACTTAAAATTAATTTTAAAAACTTACTGTTTTGTTAATGAGAGCAGCAATAACTTTCAAGCTAAATTCATTGCTTTATTACCTAAATCATTGATTGTATGAAATGTTAGCTGTCAATAGTCAAGCTGGTCACAAAAGAGCTTTATCAAAACATATCTAGATATTTAAGTTATAAGTTTGAATATTACAGTTTATTATATAAAAAACAATGAGGAGCAAATGACTTATGATGCCAGCAACAACGGACTTAAAAAGGCTTCCACCTGATTTCACTCAAAGGCACTACCTGGAGAGGGGCGAGCTGCACCCACTCTCAGCTGAGAAAGAGGCTTCTTTCTTCTTTCAAAATAACTGGCCAGTTAGTTGGAACTTGTCTCAATTCACCAGCAAACCTGAGTACTGCTATCCAGCAAAGACATAAGACAGAGTGGAGACTGCAGAAAGTTACATCTTTGACCTCTTCTTTCAACAAAAACAAATGTACGTTATTTTCAAAGAGGCTGTTGCAGTGTGTTCTTGATCTGCAAGGTCTCCATGTCGTGATCGCAATGCAGTTTCCACTCTATTAGGTCACTTACGGCCTCTGCACTAAGCTGACCGGCCAGGGTGGCCTCAGACCTGGAAGTGACCTATCCCAAGGCAGCAAGCTGTTCACTTGTCCCTGAATATTCCTCAACTCTAGACGTTTAACTGAATAGCATGTGAATCACACAGAAACATCAGAGGTCAAATAAAATCTATCACAGGAACGTTGTTTAATTCCTCGAAATCTCGACTGAACCACTCCACACTCATTTCAAATGACAGAAGTGGAGTCGAGTCAGGGCCTGGGTTGCTAAAGGCCAGGAGAATTTTACATTCTTTATAGCATCTTTGAATCACATATTGAATGGGAGGAGTGCTGCTTCCAGATTTTTACTGTCCAAATTATAAGAATGTCAAGAAATTAAGGCTTGCTTATCAGGATTCTTTAAATATTTAACTCCTACACTCAAGGGTTAGCAGATTTTTTTTTCTGTTAAAAAACATTAAAAATATTTGACTATATGAGCCAACAACAACAAAAAATTAGACCATGTGAGCCATATAGTCCCTGTTTCAACTATTCAGCTCTGCATGGGTGTGTACGCTCCTGTCCTTACTATGGATAGATATTTGAATTTCATAGAGTTTTCACGTAAATTATTCTTTTGTCTTTTCTTTTTTAAACAAGCTAATATTGGGAGTAGCCCACGGGCCATGGTTTGTGGTTCTCTCATCTGGATCATTCAGACCTTTCAATGGGGTCAGAGTGGGCATGCGGCCGTGAATCTATCTTGCTACGCTCAGGGACTGAGAGCCTTCCCCAAAGATAATCCCCAGAGCCCTGGACAGGTAGAGGACCATATCTGCACTCATGCACCTGTGTTGAGCCATCGCGTGAGGGTACTATGGGTGTTTTCTCCTATTTACCAGTGACAGGCATTCCATTTTCTTATGAAGAAGTTTGATGAAAAGGAAGAACTGGCAGGAAAAGAGTTTTATGGCTTTATCTCACAAACTAGAGAATCTGAAAATCCTGTTCATGGATTATTTGCAGATATTAACTGCTGTGTATCTTGGACTTTAGCCCGTTGCTTAAATTATATTAAGTAGAATATTAGCACTAAGTAATATGTGTTATCTCTTTAGCCATGACAATTTTAATAGGTATCGCCACACAAAAGAAAAGATTTGATCAATAGTGTTTTTGATCAGGCATCAGTTAAGTTATGACTCTGCTAGTGTTGTAGGCTAAGCATAACACTAAAGCTATGAGAATATTAGTGTTTGGCTTTATTTTTCAATTTTCTTTTAACCTACTATTTACAGAAGTTCTGTTAGAATGTTGATAGCAGTCATTTTGTAAAGTGTATGTTCCTCATATAAAATGATGTTCCGTGTTTGGGTGGTACAGATTTACAGATATGTACAAATAAACAGTGTGTCTGCAGTTAACATGCTACTCTTGACGGTGACAACACGTGGAAGCATCAGGGGCACAGAAAAAGCAGAAATTGAAACAGACCTTAAAACTCTCAAAATACATAACAATTCACTGTGTTTATAAAATCATACCGAAAAAAAGACTTTGTGTTTGGGAACTGTCAGTGGCCCACAAGCATAACAGTGATTTAAAATTTGATTAATTTATTCAAGAGGCAATGAGGAAGACAGACAGATACACACACACACAAGACAGACAGAATTCCCTTCTGCTGGTTCACTCCCTCAACGGCCCTGCTAGCCAGGGCAGGATCAGGTTAAAGCTAGGAGCCAGGAATTCAATCCAGGTCTCCAGGTAGTGGCAAATACCCGAGTAGCTGACAGGGTGTATATACATCAGCAGGAAGCTGGAATGGGATGTTTAGTTGGGACTCCAATCCAGGCCCTCCAACAGGGGATATGGACATCCTTAAAGGCATTTTAACTGCAATACCAATTCCCTGCCCCTAAAACAGTGATTCCAATGGGTAAAAATATCCCCCCAAACACGCAAACAAAAGGTAAATCAGATGTACATCTCGCTCAAACGTCTGTAGACAATTAGCTTAAAAGCAGATTGATAAACACAAATATACAATTTGTTCACTAAGCAAAAAAATATTGCACAAGAGCTTTCTGTGAAGAAAGTTCCATTTTCCAGGGTTTTAAACTTCAAAAATGGTTCCCACTTACATAGTTATGTTTTCTAAACAAGAATCCTTAATATTCAGTAATACTGTTAGAGCCTTATTACACCAATTAACCATATTCCACTCTAGTTGATGGCAATGGTAAGTCAGTGGTGACGATTTGGCAAAGATAAAAAGGTAGATAACATTGTAAAATATATATATATGTATATGTATTTATATGTACATATGAAACAGCTGTGTCTCAAAGATCCCTAGTCGTATGACAACTGATCCCTTAGGAACCCCCAGTCTAGGTCACAGTGATGGTCAGACAGTGGTTGAGTACGACTCCCGCCTTGCCTGGGGCCGCTCCTTTGCAATCCCGCGGTTGCTCCCTCCGGGCTCCAGCACACTGTCTTCCGTTTCGCTCTCACTACCATCTGCCCCGGCAGGGTCCAAGGACATCGGGCCAGACTTTCTGTGAAAAGGAAAACCAATGCCACTTCCCTGGAAGGAATTATCTATAAAATCTTCATCAGAAGAATGGAATGATTCGTCATCTCCCATCAAATGGTTGACAATGTGGATTCCATCAAAAGGAGGTTGGCCTGAGAAGCCCCTCTGGCCTTTTAGGCACCTGAGCTGTTAAAACAAAAATCCAAGTTAACATATGCAAATAGAGGCAGGGTACACACATCTAACAAGAAAATAAATGTTCCTACTGGAGGAAGGCAACACCTTAACTTCTTTTTTTCTATTTATAGATACGGTAACAACCAATTCTTGAGTACCTCCTATGAGTTATGTAATAGGTACATAACTTATCTTCAATGTTGTAACAGTCCCATGTGGGGATTTTAGTATCCTCACCTACAGATTAGAAAATACAGCCTCAGATAGGCTAACTTGTTAAGGACATATGGACATCTAATTAACAACATTTAGATTCAAACAGCCCCTTCATTTGCACTAGAGAGCATGTATCCATCAATCAATTTCATAGCCAACATACCGTGGACAGTCTGGTTACATTATACCCTCTCCTCCCCAGATTATTTTGAGGTAAGTCCCAGAGGTCCTATTATTTAGTCTTCACTATCACACACAGCATGTTTTCCTATTTCTGTAAAGTTTGGAAACGATCTGTAAGTCATGAACGTTCACGACGAGTCTCCACCCTTTCATAAGGATCACTTCATGCTCAGTCACAGCAAGAAATACTTCTCCCCACTCTTGGATGCACTGGAGGGGAAAGGTGGAGCGCCAGTGCCGAGCAACATTTCTGCCTTCTGCTCCAGACCCAACTGGTGGGAAGGCGAAGGTATCCCACTTGGGGGAAACGGGAGTGGCTCAGCTCTTTCCCCGACCCCTCTCCACCCTTGGCGATCAAGCTGTGTTCTTCCAACCTGAGTGTCACAGGGCTGGACCTGCAGGTGCGGAGGGCTGGGGGTCAAATTGCACTGGTTACAGGGATAGGTGGTCAAGTCTGGCTAGAGTTTCACAACTGAAAACCTGTTGTCAACAACTAAATGCACAACACACTGCACAGAACCAGTTTTATTGGGATTAAAGGTGTTTTTTTAGTCTGCTACTTCTTTGGGTCTCCTCAAACCCCCAAGCCCACACCACAGATACTGTCATTGTTATTATCGGAGTATCAAGATACCAGAGCTTATGTTCCAAATTAAAGCTTAAATTTGGTATTCTGTTATTTGTTTCATTCCCTCTACACACCAAGAATTTTTTCCTATAATAAAGAAAGAAACAACAACAACAAAATACAAATAATTAGCTACCCTGAAGATCTCTACCTTAACTGGCAAGAATCCTGCTGAAGCGCTCTGCATGTCTTCTACACTTACTATACCTATCAACCTGGTCCTGGTTTCTTAGGGACCATTCTTTGACACTTGCTATCTTTCAGAGCTCGAGTTAAAGGCAAGCAGAAATAATCAGGAAATGTTGCATACATTTTCAAAACTAACGGTTCTGAGAGCAGACACTGAAGCCTCGCCATGCTGCCTCTCGGCATTCCTGATGGGACTTCCAGGAGGAAGAGACCTAATCATCTCCCTGCTTGTCTGGGACACTGGGAAAAAAGAGGGGCGCTGGGACAAGGACTTGTGGGCAGGCACACCTTTGACCTGTGCTCCAGACCAAGAGAGCAGAATGGCAAGGAAGCACGATGTAAATTTAAATGTTACCTTTCTCCTTGGCTGAACAGAAGGCATCTACCTAACTTGGAGCGGAATCTTTAGGAAAAGTGTGCAGTGCACCAGACAGACCTCCTGGAGCTGAGGTGCCCAGGGCACTATTACAACTGCCGTCTCTGATGCAATCTCCTGTCATCACATTGCCACACAGGAGTTACAGCTTCAAGTGCTAAATTAAGTCAGTTAATCTCTTCCTTTCTCTTTTGCCCTTGGGGACCTTCTGAAGAAATAACACGGAACACCACGTGTCTTCCTTCTTCCTGGCTGTTGAGGAGCATTGCAGAAGAACCACAACTTCCCAGTTGTTTGGAAGGCTGTAGCTTTCCTTTGCCCTAACAAAATCTACTGTAATTAAAACATGGCAGCCTCATACTGGATGCAACTGCTGAAAATTAATTATAGAGAGTACAGTAGTTGAAGACTTTGGTGCCATTTTTCATATAACACACATGTCCTGAGGCTCAGGGGGTACACTGACATGTTTACACTGTACAAAACGGGGTGGTACTCCTCAGCGATAAACTCCACTAAACACCCCATTGGACCTAGACATCAAAATGCTTGCATATGAGTCCCATCTCTTCTTCCACTTTCCTTGAAGGTAAGGGACAGTCTGATGACGGTGAGGTCATCCACTGGATTCAGCTATGTATGCTGGTCCGATGAGAGATGCTGGAGGAGGCCCAGGCCGTGGGCATCTGAACTGAGAATTCAGAATCCACAGTGTGGTCAGAGGGGTTGCATGGATTTCAGATGGCGAAGAACTCCTAGAGTCCTGAACCTGGTAGGGGGAGAGGGGCAGAGCTGGGAGAAATTCGGAGCTAGATTAAGGCCGTTGAAAGTCTTGGCTGCCTGGATCTAAATGCTATACTTCATTATGTCTTTATTTAATTTGAAAGAGAGAGAGAGAGAGAGAGAGAGACTATCCAGCTGCTGATTCACTTAGCAAATGGTTGCAGCAGCCAGAGCTGGACTGATGTATTTATTTTTATTTGGGAAGGCAGATGTACTGAGAGGAGAGACAGAGAGAAAAGTTCTTCCATCTGCTGGTTCACTCTCCAAGTTGTTGCAATGATCGGAGCTAAACTGATTTGAAACCAGGAGCCAGGAGCCCTGCAAGTTTCCCACACAGGTGCAGGGTATCCAAGACTTTGGGCTGTCCTTGACTGAGTTCCCAGTCCACAAGCAGGGAGCTGGATGGCAAGTGGGCATCCGGGATATGAACTGGTGCCCATAGGGGATCCTGGCACATGCAAAGTGAGGACTTAAGCCACTAGGCTACCACACCATGCCCACAAATAACAAATACATCCTTTTAAATAAAATATTCATATATTTCTTTAAGCTTTTATGAACAATAGTTCATAAATTTTTGTATGCATAAGAACCCATCTGGGTTTGCTATTTTAACATAAAGCTTCCTGAGTCCTGCTCTCAGATGTCTGGGTTCAGCAGGTGCATGCAGTTTTAAAACAAGCATCCCAAAGGATTACTGCAGAGGGCAGTCCACAGATCATACTTTGAAATGAACCATATATCAGAATAATGTTAAGAGTAAATAATTTTGGACTTAAAGGTTTCTTGTGAATTTACTGCTGTCATCTGCATGCCATCATAATTTTTTTTATTTTAAGTTTACAGTTTACTGATCTCTTTGTAAGGCAGAAAGACCGATCTTTCATCTTCTAGTTCAGTCCCTTACACTGTAGGTGGTGGAGAGCTATGTACTTCAGCTATCCCCTGCTGCCTCCCAGGGTTTATTAGCAGGAAGCTGGAAATGGAAGTGGAGACGGGACTCAAATGCAGGCATTTTAATGTAGGAAACAGGACCAACCAGGAGGAAAAAAGCTAATCAAAATGTCAACACAGATGAGGCTGTATACACTCAGTCTCAGATATGACCTATTCTTGGGGTTTGAGGACTCCTTCACCACCTAGTTTGAAGTCTAGGTCCAATGGGGGTGTTTTATGGGATTTATCACTGAGGAGTACCACCCAGTTTTGTACAGTGTAAGCATGTCAGTCCACCTCCTGAGACACAGAATTTGCATGTATATACGAAAATGGCACCAAAGTCTTCTCATCTTCCTACCTATGTCACCTACAGGTCGAAGTTTTATTCTGAGGATCAGCTTCATAGTCAGATAATGGAACACGTCCTTTAAGAAGCAATACCTCAACCCTTGGTAACAGAGCCCTAGCTTATAGGCCCTCCTCATGCTACAACTCAGTAGACACATGCAAGGAGGCACACAGGTGTGAGAGTGTGGCAGGCTCAAGGAGGGGCAATATCCTACAGTAAGATGTAAGTTCATTTAGAACCACTGCCTATGGCAGTGATATTCTGATAAAATTGCTCTCATATACCTTGCCATTTCATATCTAACATTAGTGATTTTAGGATGATTTCTGCAATAACCTTACACAATCTTGGGCTTGAAATTTATGTGCTAAAAGTGACTAGGGCAGCAGGTGCTTGACACAGCAGATACCACACTGCTTAAGATTCCAAAGTCCCCACTCTGCTCCTGACTCCTAACTTCTGCTAACATGTACCTCCAAAAGTGGCAGGGACAGCTCAAGAAGATACATCCCTGTCACCCGTGTAATGTCCCCAGGGAGCCCCAGGCTGAGTTCTAACTTCTGGCGCTGGTCTGATTAGCCCAGGTTGTTTGTAGGTATTTGGGGAGTGAGCAGACAGCTCTCTATTTTTGTTTCTCTGCTTTTCAAGCATACAAAATGAAATTTAAAATGATTATGTATCAGCACTGACATAAAAAAAATTCTCTGATTAGCTTATCATATATTGGATCCACTGCCATCAGTCGACTGCTTCTTTCAGAGCCAGACTCTCTTCCTAGAATAGTAGGAAAGTGTGACTGTAGTTGTGCTCCAACATAAACAGGCCAGAGAAAGCCATCTCAAGGGAAATTCAGGAACTTCACAACACACACACACACACACTCTCTCTTTCTCCCTTAAAAGCAGAGCTGTTTCTAAGATTTTAAAGTCCTCATTTCTCTCTGATTGAGTCTCTGAGTAGAAAGTATCTCATACTGTCCCACATCTGAAAAGCCTCATTAGGCAGAGGCAGCACCCACGTAAAGCACGGAAGTGGGAACAGGTGCTCAGGCTAGCGGCTCAATCTCCCAAGCCCTGTGTGCTGCAGGACAAGGTGCAGTCCCTGGCTCCTGCCAGTGCATACCCCGAGGGACAGTGGCAGACAGTCCACTTAAGCCAACTGGTTTCCTGGCACCTCTTTGAGAGACTGAATTTTTTTTTTTTTTTTTTGATTCTTGTCTCAGTCCTGCTCTAGAGCCAACTGTTGCGGGGATCAGAGGAGAAAGCCAGTGGATGGGAGCTAGTTCTGTTTTTCAGATAGAATTAAAAAAAGCACTAGGTCTGGAGAACTGCTTAGCAATTTAATAT